GGCACAGCAGAGAATCAAAGAAAACTTACAAGGAATCAAAGAAAAGATGGACAGTTCTGAACACAAAGAGTAGTATCTATTTCATAGGCTTTCTTGAAATGGAAATTTATTGCTGTATATTTTGAATCCTCTTACGTTCTGCTGTGCACATGGCAATGCTTTTTTCTTTCTTTATTGTGTATTTAAGTTTAAAATAAATTAATTAAAAAAATAAAGTCTACATCTTGGCTTGGCCACTTTGTTGCCCTCCTAGCTAGGTGACCTTGGGCAGGTCATGTTCCTTTTGGGGGCCTGTTTTCTCATCTGTCCCAAGGCTGGGTTGGGCTGGATAATCTACCATTCTGTGACATCTCTGACCCTTCCCTGGGTCTCATGAGTGCTGCAGCCACAAGGTGGCACTGCTCCGCCTCAGTACAAAGCTCAGAGGCCTCAGAGGGCCGTGGAGGGAGGCAGGTACCAGAGGGATGCTTCAGCATCTCTCTCCTTCCCCCACATCCATCTTCATCAGACCCCCCCCCCCCAGACTCCAGGCAAGGAACAGTGGGCCTAAGTGCCCCTCCAAGATGCTTTGTGATGCCGATCCCTGACTCTCAGAGGTCCCATGTCCCGGGGCAAGAATTCCTCCCCCACTCCCCAGACCACAACCAGTGGCCACCAGCCATGTGGACCTCCAGAATATAACAGGGAAACAGCCCCTCCCCTAAGAAGCCCTCACCGGTGGGGAGTTGTTCAAACCCAACCTACACTGGCCTCTGCTGTATCCCCTACCCCAATGGATCTGCCCTCTGGGGGGCAAGCAGGCTAATCCCTTTTCCAGAGCCCCAAAATACATGTGGACAGAGCTCCTGACCCCTTCAGTCGTCTTTTCTCCAGACTAAACATCCCCTTTTCTTTCAACTGATCCTGACGTGACATGGCTTTGAGGCCCTTCCTCTTCCTCGTTGTCTCCTGGGGACACCCTCCAGCCCACTAACCTCTAACAGGTAGCACCCAGCACTCCACATATGGTCTGTTTGTCCTTAACAGGAAACACTTGGGAGGAATGTGAGTTAAAGTTCCAAAATGGCAAATATGGATAGGTGTCAGGAAAAAAAATCGCTGCATCAGAGCTATCCAGAGGCGGAGGGGGATGCCGGTCATTCACCCTGCTCTGACCCTTTGCTCTTCTGTAGCTGTCCCAAACAAGAACATGCCCTTCTGGACGGCAAGATCACCATCTAATTTAGCCCAAATGTACCTTGGGCATCATGGTTCCATCCCTCTAATAATCAAGATGGGATGAGCCCGAGTGGCAAGCAGGGAGAGAGGGAATGGGGTCCTTTTCTACTCTAACCTTCTGTGATTCGGGAAGCTTACTTTCTCCCACGCCAAAGCCAGATAGAGGGAGGCAGAATAAAGCAATGTGGGGCAGGGGTGTCAGACTTCAAGGACAAGTCCCCTAAAATGAGCCCTGAAGGAAAATATGAAAGTGGAGAAGTGGACTTGAGCCAGTGTGCTCCCTGCAGGCAGAAAGGGCAGCAAATCCTGGGAGGCGGGGAACGGTACCTTTGGGGAACGCCAAGTGCACAGGGACATGGGTGGGACCTAGACATCATTCACAGGGAGAGCTCCATCATGCTGTGTGCCCTCCTCCTTTATTCTGCTTGGGGCTCCCTGGAGGTGGCTGGGTGGACAAACTACGCGGGGAGTCAGAAGACCCGAGTTCAAATGCGACCTCACATTTGCTAGCTGTGTAATCCCACCCAAGTCACTTATAACCTGTTTGCCTCAGTTTTCTCAGCTGTAAAATGGGGATAACACCTACCACCCAGAGTTGTTGTAAAGATCAAGAGATAACAAACGTTTTTAACAAATGTTAAGTACTTAGCACAGTGCCTGGCACATAATAGGCACTGTATAAATTCTAGCTATTATTATTGTGCCACTGACCATCCAACTTGGGGGTCCCCATTGCCCTAAGCACAAGAAGCTGCTGTTGTTTTCCTCCTCATATGGGGTCTAGCTACCTGCTGGTCATAGATCCCAGGGCTCAGGGATACTACAACCTCCAGCCCCAGGGCAGGATTCACCTAGAACCTTCCCCAGGTTCTTCCTGGAGTCCTTGGAGGATGCACAGGCCAGCAGTAGGGCCTTTAGCCTTTACCCTTGGTGGGCATTGGTAGCAGAGGGGGTGAGGCCTCTTCCTCCTCAACTCCCTGCCCCGTCCCGTCCCGTCCCATCCCAACACTCCCTAGGGTTACTCTTGCCAGAAGCAAGAGGGAGCAGGGCACATGTAGCAATATGGAGCCCTCCCAATCAATGATGTCTAGGCCCGACTCACATCCCCGTGCAAAGCCCTCCCTAAGACTTTTAGCACCTGAGATCAGAAATCTGGGTGTGGAAAGGACCTATCAGGCCACCCATTTATAGATGAGTAAATGACTTGCTCACAAGCACAGTGCTAGGAAGCATCTACAGCAGGAGTGCTCCTGACTCCAAGTCCAGGGCTCTGGGCACTGTATCCTCTATGGGCAGTGCCCTAGTCATGCCTGCTTACAGAGCTGGGGTGTGTGTCCCGAGGAAGGGGGAATGACCACCTTGTCTAGCTCTGTGACCTCCAGGCCCGTGCAGCCAGGAAGCCAGTGACCAGCAAGGTTTGGTCTCATTTGAGCTGTGGAAGCCTGTTAAAATCCAACCTCTTCTATAGAAAGCAAGAGAAAAAAACATGAAGGTATGGCTCCTCTCCAGTCCCTTAAACCACTAATGCCAGACACCTTCCTTTAGGAAAGTACCTCGGGGACCAGGGACAAAGGCAAGGTCCCTGGAATGGGATTAACGTGGAGACCAGTCTTTAAACAAGGGGTACCTACGCCCCCATTCCCAGGTCCAGACAAGATCCCTGCGTGGCATAACTAACACCGGAAATGTTTTGCTTGGCTGCACACATACAACCCCTATCAAATTGCTTGCCTTCTCAAAGATGGAAGACGGGGGGAGGGAGGGAATTTGGAACTCAAAATTTTAAAAAACAAATGCTGAAAATTGTTTTTACATGTAAATTGGGAAAAAATAAAATATTAAAGAAAAAAGGAAAAGAAGATCGTTTTGAGCCCTGCCCAGATTCCATCCCCAGAAGCCAGGGATGGCGATCCTGCCTCTCCTCCGTTCAAATGAAGGATTAAGATGGGGTGAGGCCACCGGGGTCACTCCTCCATGGCCGGGAGAGTGGCCGAGGAAGGAACTGAGCAGTCCTAGCTGAAGGCCTTTTCTTAGTGATTCTTGTTCCTAAATGTCTTTGAACACAGGGGTGACTTTTTCTTTGAGAATCACATAAATGTCACCCCAAATTGTCTTGGGGTAAAGAGATGTTGAGGGCAGCCAGGTGGCGCCATAGTGCATACAGAGCCAGGCCTGGAGTCAGGAAGACTCATCTTCACGAGTTCAAATGTGGCCTTGAACACTTATTAGCTATGTGACCCTGGGCAAGCCACTCAATCCTGTTGGCCTCATTCTCACTTGTAAAATGAGCCGGAGAAGGAAACGGCAAACCACTAAACAACTCCAATGTCTTTACCAAGAAAACCCCAAATGGGGTCACAAAGGGTCAGATGTGACTGGACAACCAAAAAGAGAGATGTCTGAGGGTCCAATGGACAGGGGGAACTAAGCTAGAAAAACTTGGATTTAGAACATTAGATTAATAAAAATCGTCATTGGCAGATTTTGCCCCAAATTCAGAGTACAGGATTAGTGGTTTTCTTTTCTTTCCCCCCCACAGATCAAGTAACTTATACCTTCTTCCTGGTGCCTGAGATAATTCCTTGCACTGGCCCCAAAGTTCCCAGTGTAGTGAGGGGGTGGGTCCAGAACTCAGCTGACAGCTTTACCCTCTGTGAGTCCTCACTTCCACCCCTCTGGGATTAACTCACTGTGTGACCTCGAGCAAATCCCTTCCCCTAGTCCACCCATCGGTCCACCAGGCAGCAGAAGGAACTGGGGAGGTTCCTTCTTATCTCCCCTATTAGACTGAGCTCCCTGAGAGCTGGGATGGATTTTTGGCTTTTCTCTGTATCCCCACAGTGCCTGGCATGCAGCAGGAGAATAAGAAACACTTGTTGAGTGACTGGCTGAGGAGGAGCTTAGGGAATAAAACTGAAGGGGGTCATGATTATTACCTTCCAAAGAAAAGAAGGCAAACACAGACCCCATATAAACAAGAATTTCCTAAAGATTAGAGATGCCCAGAAATAGACAAGGCTGTGATGGCAGGTGGGAAACAGGTGACTTAGGCTCCTGGCTAAGAAGGTTCCACCAGGGATTTCTGCCTCAGGCAGGGGCAGCCTTGGGGGGTGAGGGGGGTGGGGGTCTATGCCCAAGGCTCCTCCCAGTACCCGAACACCATAACTTGGGGGCCTCCCCCCAGCCCAATTTGGTCTAAAGTTCTCAGATTCTATAAGTCCCCTATTCTGGGCAACAGCAAGAGAAACCGAGGCAGGCAGTATTTTCAATGTCAGCTGGAAGACAGTGGCAGAGCTGCCCATCCACTCATGCACAAACACACACATATGCTGCACACATCACAAACAAACACACACCATACACCTACCACACACAGCCCACAAACACACATACCATACAAACACACACGCCACATATACACATACCTCTCTTTCCCCTTTCCTTCAATCTCTCTCCCTTTCTCTTTCCTCTAGTCTCTCTCTCTGTCTCTCTCCCAGCTGGAGCATGATGGGTAGGTTGTATACTAGCTAGGCATGGGTTCCAGTTCTGGCTTCTAACCTCGAGCCCCGTCCTTGGGTCTCAGTTTCCTCACCTGTACAATGGGATCCTATGGGCACTCAGGTCACTCCCAGTTCTATGCCCTATGCTCCTCAGATCTCTAACTATGGTTTGGTGCTGTCACTGCCCAGGGCTACTGCCCAGGGCTACAGGTGGGCGAGCTGCTGGTGGAAGGGCCATTGTGGTCAGCTCGACACCAGGACAAAGGCACACAGCAGCCGGAGTCACATAGGCTATAATGAGTGTATTGATATTGGCTCCTGCCCGGGCTAGACGGAATCTGAAAACGGCCGGACCTTAAAAGGGCTCGTTGAAGGGATACAGAGGATGCCCTGCATCTCTTGGGACCCGCTTCCCATCCACCTGCAAAGACAGAGACAGAAGCCTATGTTAGGGGGGACTCATCAGCCCTGCCTGTGCCCACCCCCAGCCACCAGCCACCAGCCCAGCCCTCACCGTTATCATGGGCACGATGTACCGCCAATTCTTGTTCAGTGCCCCCATCTGCTTCATCTCCTCCGGCGTCAGAGTGAAGTCAAAAACCTAGCAGGGGAGACCCAGAGTCCTGAGTCCAGGGCACATTCCTGGGGCTCCCACCCGCCTCAGACCCACAGAGTTGCCCCCTCCCCGCACCCAAGTCTAGGGCCCGCTTCCTCACCTGCAGGTTCTCGAGGATACGGGAAGGAGTGATGCTTTTGGGAATACAGATCACCTTCCGCTGGACTTGCCACCTATAAGGAGGGAGAGGAAAAGGGAGTCACGCCTGGCAGGGTCTTCCCACATGTACCCCTGCCACAATTCCCAAGTACCAGCTAGGGCTCACAATGCAGTATGGGCTAGGGGAAAATAGTTAGAAGGCCTCCATCCAGAGAATCTCAGGATTTAGGAAGGGATCTTAGAGATTATTCGGGCCAATCCCTCCATTTTACAGATGGGAAAACTAAGGACCAGTGAGATGATGCACCTAAGTTCTCATTTCCCTTGTTTTCTCCAGCCAACTTTTAATAATAATGATAATAGAATAGAGCACCAGCCCTGGAGTCAGGATGACCTGAGTTCAAATCCGGCCTCAGACACATAACACTAGCTGTGTGACCCTGGGCAAGTCGTTAACCCTGATTGCCTCACCAAGAAAAAAAAAAGTAATAACTAGCATTTATATAGCATTTTTAATTTTGCAAAGCGGTTTACAAGATTTCATTTTATCCTCATAACTACCCTGGGAAGTAGGGGATATTACTATCCCCATTTTTCAGGGGAGGTAACTGAGACTACAGTTAAGTGACTTGCCCAGGGTCACACAGCTGGTAAGTATCTGAGGTGAGATTTGAACTTGGGGTTTTCAGATTTCCAAATGCCTACTGGACATCTTGAACTCACTCAATGTCTTGTAGTCACCTTAAGTGGAACGTGTCTGAAGCTGAACTGATTATCCTTCCCCCGACACTCTCTTCTCTTCCTGATTTCCGTACCGTGGTTGAGGGTACCATCACTCATCCTTGACTGCCCTTTCTGTCTAAGCCGTTGCCAAGGCCTGTTGCAATTCTACCAATACGCCCCCTTCTCTCCTCCAATGCTTCCATGCTCTGGTGCAGACCCTCGTCACCTCACGCCTGGACCATTGCACTAGCTGCTGGGGGGGGTCCACCTGCCTCCAGGCTCTCCCCACTCTAGTCTGTCTTCCCCACAGCTGTAAAAGCAATATCCTAAAATGCAGGCCTGACCATGTCAACCCCTAGTCAATCAATCCTAGCAGATCCCTGGAACCTCCAAGATCAAATACAAAATCCTCCCACTTAGAGATCCTTCCATAACCCGGCCCCTTCCTACCTTTCCAGTCTTCTTATACCTTATATCAACCCCCCCCCCCCCCCCATACACACACACTCCCAGTGACCCAGTGACACTGGCCTCCTGGCTGTTCCTCCCACAAGATCCTCCATCTCTGGACTCCGGGCACTTTCTCTGGCTGTGCCCCATGCCTAGAACGCCCTCCCCTCTCATCTCTCTCTCCTGGCTTCCTTCACATCCCAGCTAAAATCCCACCTTCTTCTTCCCGATCCCCTCAATGCTAGAGCCTTTCCTCTGTCAATCATCTCCGATTTATGCTGTGTGTAGATTGACTGTCCGCAGGTGTTTGCACGCTGTCTCCCCCCTCCCCTGAAGCACAGTGCCCGGCACATAGTAGGATGTTTATTGACGAATACGGTAAATATGGACAGCTATGACTCACATAAACAAAACCCTTTCGAGGGAGGGGGTTCTCAATTATTTTTAGGAGTACAAAGGCATCCTGAGACCCAGAAGTTTGAGAACCATTGATGAGCGCTGGAATCTTCAGTGTTTTAAAAAAAGCACTTTACAAACACAACCTTCATTCTACAAAAACTTTCTGCGGCTGGTAATACAGATTTGACTGTACCCATTTTTCAGGCAGGGAAACTGAGGATAGTGCACAGGGCCCAGGGAAGGGCCTTGAGTGTTTGCCTAGGGCTCTCTTCATAGCCCTCTTCCTCCCTGCTCCTATCAACCTCAGCATGTGCCCAGCCCCAGGGACTCCAGCAGGAAATCCCCATTTCTGAGTGCATCTCTCGCAGGCTACCTCCCATAGCTCTCAAGCCCAACCCCATTTCCTCCCCAGCCCCCGCTCCATCTGGGTCATACCTGAGCAGGATCTGGGCTGGCGACTTCCCGTACTTCTTGGCCAGCTCGAGGACAAGGGGCTCTTCCAGCAGGACTGGCTCCAATGGGTCTCGCCAGGCTCGGTCCGAGGAGCCCAGGGGGCTGTAGGCTGTCACCTCCAGCCCCCGCTCGTGGCAGTGAGCAATCAGCTCATTCTGAGCCAGGTAAGGGTGGCTCTCCACCTTGAGCAGAGAATGCAACATTGGTTGGCAGTGATCTGGACACCCACCCACTACTAGGCCCTGTCACTCAGGCACAGCCCGGGGCCCCCGAACATGTGTGACTTGTCATCTAGTCATCCCATTGTCTGGACCAGGGCTCCTGCCCCCAAAGCCTGGGGTACTCCCACCCCC